CCTATTATACTTTGGATGAATATTTCAACGATAGTTTTTAACTGACTTACCCATATTTTTATCTTTACTTATTAATGAGCTCTTATGTTGTTACTTTTCATGTCTACTCTTTTATAAACTTGACTTCTACTCTTTTATATATATACATATCTTTTATATCATTCATTTTAACATAGTTTGTACCATGCATCATTTATATTTTCATTTCAGTTGGTATGTATTGCATTTTTTTAAGTATGTACTACCCAAGCTTTGTCTAAGAAATTGTTTCTTATGATAATAAAGCATATTATTATTATCATTATTATTATTAATTTGTAACAACTAGGATGTTTGTGATTTTTTTTCCTAATGTTTATATCCAATGAGAATTTTTCTCTCTTTATGTATTGTGACTTATCTCGTGTTGTAAAGCAACCATAAGCGACCTGACTCCAAATCCAATATGGCAAACCGCTCAAGATTGCGGACTGACGTCGCTCTAAATCCAGCATTGCGGACAATCTGAGATGATTGACTGATTTGTTTATGTATCTTCACGATATGGGTTTCAAATGAAAGGGTTCGCTAAGTTAATTTTTTTTGGAGCATGTAAGCAAAAGCTTGCTCTTCAAATGTGTTTGCAACAATCAACTACGAAAAATATACTAACCTTGTTCGATTTTGTGAATCAATCCTTCAAATGGATCTTCTTGAGGAGAAGGGTTTTCAATGATCTCCAACAAAGCCTCTCTGCGTTTTGCTATATATCGTATATTTTCCGGGAGAATGGGTGTACAACTGGATGAATCTTCTTTGCGTCCTTCCTGAAGTTTTTTACAAAGCATTGAATCTGATAAAAGAATGTTTTCCCATTCTTTGGCAACCACCGAGGCTCTCAATATATCTTTGGGGGTCTCTAGATACCTGAAACAAAAACTTTACATTAATATTAAGTGATTTCTGAGAATGTTCTTTATAAAATGGACCAGAGATCTAATTTGCATTGAACTGTTGTGAATCGTCCCCTGAAAAAATATAACGGTGGCCGCCGCTGTTCGTCGAAAATCAATTGTGACTTGGCCAAGATCGCGCTCAACCTAGTTTTCGCGTCGTTTTGATTTACTTCCAGCGTTTTCCCTATTGGCTTCGAGAATAATTCTATTGGCTTATCAGGACTTTCGTTGGCATATATTAACACTATCCACTCACATATCGGGGCAACCAACGATTTCAGGAACTTCAAGGACGATATGCGACCAGAACGATGAGCAGCAACAACACCGATGCCATCAACACGCTCACAACGCCTTGGATCCAAAAGGATACCCAGGAAAAAGCTTCCCTTTCCCCCAGCCTGACTCCTGGGAGCAATGGAAGACCCGCCGGAGCCGATCCAGGATATCCTAGAGGAATTTCCACTGAGAATCAGATAGTGGACAGCGGATAGCAGCGTCCTGGAAAAACCCGAAATACGAAGAGTTTCACCCCCCGCAGCCCCGGCCAAAAAACCGTACCCAAAAGTACCAACACCACGACCTCTGCAATGGACCCGGACCACCATACGGATCAACGGAACAAACTATATGAACAAGCGGAACACAAAAACGACACAACACAGACTCCAACACACAACAAAACACACACACATACAACACACTTACCCTGAAGAGGCTATAGCAGGGCCCTACACAAACATACCCAACAAATGAAGTGTTATTAACCAAAAAATTTGAATAAACGATTTTCATTCATTCATTCACATCGGGAAGTCTAGTGGACAATGCGATACGAAGTGATCTGATGAAACGATAGACATTTGAATATCAGTTTGAAGAAAAAGTTTGGTTGAATTGTCAGTGTAGCAGTGAAATAAAGTTAAGTTCAATAGGGAATGTTCCTCTTTACGAAAATCAAGTAGTTTTCATGAAAGAGCTCTAAAACAACGCATTTTAAACTTACCATTTCAACATTATTCTTAAAAAAAATTATTATAATGCTTAAAAAAGAGGAATGAAATAATGCATTCAACATTTAAAGGGATTCGTTTTTATTTCACCATTTGGCAACATCGGTTNAATTTAAGTTGAAAGTTCGTTAACTTCAAGTCTGAGAAATGGTTAGATTAACGAAAATGCATAAAGTAACAGTTTTACAAATGATTGGTTACGAAGATAAAAGCCGAACACAAAAGGAAGTAGCTCGCCTATTTCATGAGGAATTTACTAATTTACCGCCCGTATATCAAGCAGCAATGAGCAAAGTTAAGAAGCAGTTTCGCGAGCTTGGTCATGTGTGGCAGATAAATTGCCGTTACTGGTCTACGGAAAATCCTCACTGGATGAGAAAATAACCCACGCAATACCCTCAAAAGGTTAATGTTTGAACAGGGATTGTAGGAAACCATATCGTTCGTCTTTTTTTCATTGAGGGTAACTTGAAATGCGATAATTATTTGGCACTACTTCAAAATGATATCATTCCAAGTTTAGCGAATTTATATTCTGATCCAGGAAACCCTCAAGTTCCAGTGAATACGATATGGTTTCAGCATGATGGAGCACCACCAAATTACCAAGTTAATGTCTGGCAATACTTTGATACAACATTTCCCAATCGGTGAATAGGGAGGCGAGGATCGATTGAATGGCCAGCGCGACCACCTGATCTTACATCATTAGATTTTTTATGATGATATGTAAAGAGCAATGTGTACAATACTAAACCTTCAGATTTGAATGACTTAAAAGAACATTTCATTACGTTTTGCATTACATTTTAGTTTTTAAGCGTATTTTATCGAATTTCGGTAACCACATCATTTCAATTTATTTAAGCATAATTGTTACAATAAACGCAAAAGCAATAAAAGTTTTGAATAGAGAATGAAGAGACCTTCCAAACGATATATCACAAGCCTATACTTTCCATTTAAAAAATTGGGGGGTTGAACCTGTCATTCGAAGGGAGTTGCAGGTAGGGGTGGTATTTTTACGTTGGAGAATGTTGAATTATAATTTACATTTGACGTGTTTCGGATTTTTTTTTAATATGTACAGTAACCGAGATTATTTATTTATTTCATTTGGCTTTTACACACTGTATAGTCAATGACAACTAGCTAGGTTAATTAAATCTGTACCAATGACAAAATTGTTACCTGAATCATCAATACCTGATCTGAGATACTTGAACAATGATTTAACTTACGTAGCTTATCAAAGTTACTGAGCAATGATCCAAAAACCCTACTTTTGGATTGCTCCACATACCAATGGATCGTAAACTAGTTGTCAAAAGTTCACAAATTCAAAAGGGGGGGGTGCTTCATAGTTCAAGTTGGTCATTGAAGTTCAGTCTCACTTTTTTGGTTCATTCTCGCTTTTTGCTGTCTTGCTTTATTGGTTTTGTTCAATACTATTTTGGGTTTGAAAGGGGTATATTTGAAGAGATTATTTCTTTGGGAAAGAAAGAAGTTTTCTTTCTACTTCTCCAGACAAAATATTTCTTTCCCAAACTATTTTTGATTTTGTTCAATACTATTCGTTCATATATACCTGAATATTTGCAACCATATCTCGACAGGGAGCCGTGGAAGCCCAGTCTCGCTTTTTTTGTTTCGTTCAAACCTATACATTTTCAATTGTCACTGCACAAAAATGCTACTGAACTCCACGAATGTAAATGAGAAAAGTACATTCACTAGAATATTTACTCTTAGAATTCATTTTTCTTCACTAATCAGTACCTTCATTATAAAAGGTATTGGTTTTCTAAGAATTTACCTCCTTCGAAGATTAGCTTATTTGCACAAGGACAGCATTGTCATTTCAGGTCGGACTGTAATTATAAGATTACTATCATCAATATCAATATTTTTCAGGAATTTTCAGCAATTTCAAATCATTTTATAATATATTAGATGCATTCAAC